TTTTCATATGTTTGTATCATGATCTTTGATGTATTTTCTGGAAGACTAACCTTGATCTTGGTTCTCCACAATGAGCAATGCTTCTATGAGCTATTAAATTTATTTTTAATAAACTCTTTTTCTTTTCAGTCTGCTAAATTGGCTTCTGTTTCTTATAATAAGAACTTTGACTGATCTGGAGAAAATGGCTATTGGGTGAGCAACCAACTTCATTTGCAAATTGATTTATGCTTTCTTGGGACTAGCTTTGCATGAACAAAATCTCAAATAAATGACAAACTTGAGCATAACTAAAGTCTCTATGGCACCTTTCCCAGCCTCCTACTTTGTCCTACATTCATGTAACTAAGGGAGAACACAGACGTGATCTGCCACAGAATTGAGGGGAAAAAAAGTTTCAGGACCCTTAACTCTTTAGGCACAGCAGATGCTGGAATACATTGTACATATCTGCCTTGGTTTTTATGTCACATCATTTCTGCCTTTCCCTGTGTTCAGTTTTATACACATTCTCCAAGAAGTTCAATAGACTTCCCAAGGCCTGTTCATGGTTTTGCTCCAAAGGAAGATTGAGAAGCTAAATTTCAACAAGAATTTCATTCTACTATATTGAGCACCAATGTGCTCTTAAGAATAGTATCCTTTATTAAGTTAAAAAAATGTAGTAATCCCATACTCATGGCAATTGACAGCACCCTTTGATCTAAGTGAAATACCAATTTCTCTCTTCAAGTCCAGTGTTAAGTCTGTTATCACAGAGCAGTTGTGAGTTAATTCACTTTCTCTCATCTCTATTCAAGAGCCCATGGTACCCGAACAAATGAGAGATCTGAGCACTGTCAACTGGGTCTAATGATAGAGCATGAAAGTGGTATATTAAAATGACTTTACTTGCTCCTTTTTCATGCTGAGAGTCTTTCTAAAAATTTATAGACATGTCTAATCACAGTATATTTTGTACTTGTTCTTTGGCAGCCCAAACAACTTGAACCACCATTCAAATTAACCTTGCAGCACTTTCTAAACAACTTTATGTCTTACAGAAGATGGCAATGACTTTGGCTGAAATTTCCAATGTTCTCTGAAATGTTTTCCTAGGAGCATTCATGTGTATGTATCTAAAATATTCCAAATTTCAATGAATTTGGGAAATGCTACCAAGAGTTTACCCTGCATTGGAATTCACACAGGCTAAGAGCATTTTAGAATATTTCAGTCTCTCTAATTTCCAAGCATGATCCTAGCATCCTTCTTACCAGTGTTCCCTAGAACTTGTCCTAGAGGTAAAAATAGTTGACCTTGATCGAGGATTTACAAGGGGCTAGGCACAAATCTATAGCTTTGTTCTACATAATTCTATAGGATCATCTCAGTCACTACAATAACCCTGGGAAATTTGTGCACTCTGGTGCTATTTTATGGGTAGAAAAACCAAGGAACAGAAATGATAACTACCTTGCTTGAGACTACATAGCTAATAAAGGAACCAGGAGTCAAACTCAGGTACCACGGCTTTTGCACCCACCCCTTTGGGATTTCACTCTATCCCTTCCCACCAGAAAATGCTGCCAGATAGGAGACACTGTCATTCATCTCCTTTTATGACACATCTTACAGGTTAGTGAGGCTACAAATCACCTTTTGTATAGAAGTTTTGTTCATCCTTGTCAAAGGCATAAAATATTTTCCTCTAATCAAACCATCTAATAAAACTAAATTATATAGTCCACATAGAATATATTTCCAACTTACTAGGATCACACTTAACTGGCTTATTTATACCACAAAAGAACCATTTTTTAAAGTCTAGGTTCCATTTTTTATTCACAAACTGCTTTTGTTAATCATTTATCTTATGAGAATTTACATACATATAGATAACTCTTTTAGCTAGCATCATAAACAAGAAATTCCAAATCAAGTTGAAGATGATATATACTTGTAAGATTATTTAATAAACAACAAATGAGTAGCAGCAAGTGAATTTAATTTTTTTTATTATGCAGTTAATTGCATGTTTGTAGTGAGTGATTGATTGGTTGCACATTTTTGTTCATATGTACACACATATGTGTGACAAAGGCCACAAACCTAGTCCTTCCCAGCTATTGGACCCTAGTTGAAAAAGCCCAGAATTTAGTACTCAGTTCAAATACTAGTTGTGCACTTAGTAGTAAAAGTTACTAAAACTTGCCAAGACTGTTCCTCAACCAAAAAAAAAAAAAAAAAAAAAAAAGAACTTATAAGGAGATTGTGAAGATTTGGTGAGATAAGACATTTAAAATACACAGCACCTGGCACTATAAATGTCAATTCCATTTTTTTCCCCCTCTGCACTGTGTTCTTTCTTCTCTTAGGCAAGAAGAAATGGGGAGTTC